TCATTTATATAGATTTTAACGATCTCATGCAATAAGAAGAATCTACAGCCAAATTTGCTACTAGTGTAGTAAAATAAAATGTGGTCCTAGAAAGAACATAAACTCTCACTTATTTTTCTATCTGACGGGTCATTAAGAATTGAAGTGAAAAGAAAAAGTATATGTCATTTCTCTTTTGCTGCATGCTATTATTTCTCAGAATTAATTACTTTTGTTTACATTTACTTTTTACATCTGAGAAAAAATTGAATTTATGTATGTTTCATCATGCTGTGAAAATGATGGGACAAAGATGGTAATTTTTAAATATAAAAAATGGAAAATGGAAAATTAGTTTTCTCCATTGAACTTTATTTTCTACACTCGATAAAGGGCAAAAAGTTATGTTCATTGTTGGGAGAGGGATGTCAATCATGATAAAAAAAAGGAAATGATGAGAAGGGTGTTTTTGAAATAATGTAATTTTTGAAAGTTTGGAATGGGCAAATAATTAATTACACTAAAAAATATCTTGGGTTACAATTCTCTAGTATATAATATACTTTGATTATAAAATAGTTCCATGTTTTTTCAGGACACCATAGAAATTAGAAAACCACACGGAGTTTAGAAATCCTAAAATTACTAGAAACTGATCTCTTGTTTTTTTTATTCTTGAGCACAACATGTGGGAATGAGGGATCAAACTTACAATATATACCAATTACCGCTGAATTATGCTCAATTTGACTAGAAATTCTCTCGTTGGCCCTGAAGTTAATACTCATTTCATTGGACTTTTGTCATGATTATAGGTTGAGAGAGAGAGTAGATTCTATCTCATATTTTTAATTTTAAAAATATAACACAATGAATATGAAGTATAACAAAAACTTTCAATGTATAAAATGGTTACACAAACCTGAACATACTGAATTGATTAAGACATACATCATCGAAGTTTGAAATTTAGAATCTTTTACTCCATGTGTTAAACTCAATAAAATAAAATAAGTTACTTATACCTTAATTGTTGAGTCATGGTCATAGACTTAATATTAATTATTATTTATTTTAGAGATGGAGTTCCATTTTGGTACTAGAAATGATTTTTTAAGCATTATTTGAAACTTGTGATTGTTTATTTACCATCTATTTGATACATTTTTGTTTTTCTTATGAATTATTAGCTAAATTTCAAAAAACAAAATAAAGTTTTAAAAAAATTACTTTTTTTTTGTTAGTTTCTAAAATTTGGTTTTAGTTTTGAAACCTCTTTTTAGATAACAAGTAAAAAAATATATTATTCACAAGCTAAACGTTAAATGGGGTTGAAAAGTTGAAAAAGTAGTATCAAAGTTGTGCTTGCTTAAGAAATCAAATTAGAATGTAGAAAAAAAAAATCTAAAGACGTGGCATGTGACATGTCAGCTTATTTATCCACTTAACTCCCTAATTACATTAATTGACTAATAGTAATTTGGAATGATTTTGAAAAGAAAAAAAAATTATATAAAACAATTTCTTATACCAGCAATTTTGAAATAATTACTCGTTTAGAGTGTGGCTAAAGTGCTCTTTTTTAATCTAAAATGTTTTGTAAGAAATAAAAAATATTTATAAGAAATTGAATTGGTTTAGAATCTATTTTTTAAATAAATACTTAATATCCCAAAAAATTATTCTAAATGATTCACACTCCCTAGTTTAAGTATTTGAGAGGTAATTACTCATAAAAAGTGTTTAAATTAATATATATATATATATATCAAACTCATCCAAAATAGAAACAGAAAAATATAGAGATTAGAAGTGATTTGCCACTCAAGGAAAGGCTTATTATATGAATAATATTAATTTATGGAATGTGACAGCTACGAGATTATTAATTTTTTGATGAATATTCTCGCATCTATCCAAATATCATGAGGGTCATTCTTTGTATTATGTAATGAATTGTAATATCATTCAATAGTTTCTCCGAGCGAGACACAATTTTTGGACTTTAATTATTGCATGTCTAAACCTATCAATTATTTTATTGCACACTATTTCTTGAGTAAAAATGACCCAATTTTTATTTTAGTCCTCTTAAAATTTCAATTAGTGTGTATTATATGAAAATTTGATGATAATAATTCCAATCGAGTGAAAGTTTAAGAACTTATAAAAATTGTATCATAACAAAGTCTAGAAATTTAGGGACTGAAATGTACTTTAAAGTCTAAAAATACATGTAATTTACAAGATTCTTAAAAATATAGTCATAGATTTATTTGTTTGTTTTGTATTTAGGAATCATACAAATTTTAATTATTAAATATTTATTCATTTGAATGATATGATATGATGTATAATTGATTGGTTAATCATTCTTCTCAAAATCTTCCCACTTGAATCTCACCCCATATCATGTTTGTCATTTTTTGAGTCTTCAAAACTAGAGTTATGAATAATATTTCCACATCTTTTGACCTCATCTGTCTTAAACAAAACTAAAATAAAGAAGAATTAAAATGAAAATCAATTGAAAAATAAAGTTGTAGATGATGAATAAAATTTCTATTTCTTTTGGGTCAAACTTAATTAGTTTGAAATGTAATTAATGGGTAACTTGTTAGTTCAATCGTCGATTGGATACGGTAGTTGGTGGTAAAACTATGTCGTAAAACAAAAGAAGTATAGTGTTAGTGACTACTCATATTGGTTTAGCGGCGCACACACTTATGTTTTTTTATGTCCAACTCGAGGCTTCACTCAACTTATCACATGGCAAAACCCCTATGCCACACGGTAGCCCAACAATTTGGTGCATCTGAAAATGTTTATTGTAGCCTAACATCCTTGCTTACATAATCCTCAAATTAATGTTCTGAGTTACCTACTCATAAATCCCTTTACACCTAATTTAATGCTCCTTCAAACACCACTTATATGTAAATTTAAGGTATTTTCTCTTATATTTTTTGATCAAAATTATACAATTTAATTATCAACTTGCATTTGCTATCACGCTCTAATTTGATCATTAAAGTCATTTCATCAAACACTACACTATTGTAAGTTAAACACTCAAATAATCTTTTTTTTTTTAATTCTACAAGAGATTTATACCATGTACGTAATTCATAAAAAAACTTTGGTTGAAAGCAGAAAAAAGTAGAATTATGTCAAACGTACCTTGCACCCCGCACCCTGTCCTCTCCTTTTATTTATAGGAGTCTAGAATCGACCCAACTTGATCTGGTCGGGTCAGCTCAGCTTTAGTTTGGTTTGGTCGGGCGGTCCAACCCGATCAACTTAACCCAAACAATTCAACTCACGTCGCTTTTTTTACCCTACTTCAACAAATTTACTACATTTCACCCCTAACAAAACCAAAACCAAAGTAGCAAATACGAAATTCAAGTAATAAAAAGAGATTTGTTGTGTGTGTGTGTGTGTTTTTGTTGGTTGTGAAAAATAAAAAAAGGAATTAGAATGTCACAATAAAGCCATTCTCATCCTTTTGATGCAATTGGCAATCTCCACAAAAATCAAAGTACTATTTCCAATCTTAGGATCAAACTTAAAAATTAAAAACTATAAATTAGAATGTCACAATAAATTAAAATTCATATTCGGAATGTTGAGTTGAAAGACGAAATACCAAATTTAGCCTCGACTCGAGCGTGAAAAAAAGACACCAGTCCGATCATAGCGTGACACGTGTCCCCCACGCTCCCATATTTCCCCGTCAGGGAAGCAAATCGAACCGTATGATCTGAAAAAGTACTAAACACGCGAATTGGCAGCGCGTATTTCGTTTCTTGGCGGACTGTATATTTCCGTTTTTGCCCAAACACCCCCTTTCTTTTCACTAACCCCTCTGCCCCAAATTATTACATTTTTTTAATTTCCCTTTTTATTTTATTTATATATATTTTTTATTTTTAATTTTGTAATTTCATATTTACTGAGCTTGAATAAATCTTCCAGTTTCGGCCTCTTCGTTTTTTCCACTGCCACTTCGAACAGAATTTCCGATTCACTCGCT